AAAAACCAGAGGAGGAAAAGTTTCAAAACCATTACATAAAAACACAGATGCAGTTCACTTGTTATCTACACCTCATAGGAAGAATTTTCACAACTAAATTGTATGTAAATATAAATATGTAAAATTGGTGGGTTGAATAAAATATTAAAATAAATCCTGAACGCAGCATGTCACAGAGTGGATGAATATAAGTGTATATTTATATTTGGATCATGGTATCGTCATTGCTCCTGAATCACTGCTGTGATACCACTCTGACAGAGGATAAATACAACAGCTACTATCTATTCTGGTGAGACTTCAGAGGCACAGAACTGTGTGTCAACCCAGACCCCTGTCTGTCTGTCTGTCTGTCTGTCTGTCTGTCTGTCCATCCAACGTTATATCTATGTCTGTCTGTCCATCCAACGTTATATGTCTGTCTGTCTGCCTGTCTGTCTGTCTGTCCATCCAACGTTATATCTATGTCTGTCTGTCCATCCAACGTTATGTGTCTGTCTGTCTGCCTGTCTGTCTGTCCATCCAACGTTATATCTATGTCTGTCTATCTTTCTGTCTGTCTGTCTGTCTGTGAGTTGTGTAGACTGATACAGCTGAGCTCAAAGTCAGTCTATTTGTCCATTCACCTTTCTGTCTGTTTGTCTGTTTGTCTGTCCATTCATCCAATGTTCTGTCTATGTCTGTCTGTCTGTCTGTCTGTCTATCGGTCTCTCTGTCTGTAAACTGATACAGCTGAGATCAAAGTCCAAACAGAGCCACAGCCACATTTTTGTCCTATAAAATATAATCCTTGGTAACTGAACAGCTAATAACTAAAGGTTCATCGGTCAAAATCCTGAGCCGTCTGTCCCTGTTATCTGTATAATTAGGTGATGTAACCTGATGTCAAAGTTGGATGTTAAAGTATTGTTTCTGAGATGTAAAGGCTAAACTTTCCAAATACTAGAAATAACATAAAATATAGTTTAAAATACCAAAATGCAATGTACACTCTTTAAACAGGACAGCTACTATCTATAAACATGGTCACTGCTCCCACCTAGTGAATGTTTGGTGCATTGACATATCACTTTGCAGTTGGCATCAGTCTTTTTAAATTCTTTTAAGAGGTAATAACAAGAAATCTCATAGAAAATCACACATTCAGAGAGCAATTCTCACAACCTATGCTGTTCTCTTAATAAGAATGGAAACTACAAACCACACGTGATGAGGACGTCTTTCCTGTGTATTTAGATGTCAGCACCTGATAAATCTGACACTAATGCAGTTGTTAAAGTCAGAGTGCCACCTTCTTCTTAGTGTTTGTTCAACAGACTCTTGAACCATCTCCCCTGAAAGAGACAGTTTTCTTTATTTACTCTGTAGTTTTTGAAGCTTTTTCTCCTGTATTGTGCAGTAACACAATGAGCCGTCTTCCTGTTTTCTGTTTTTGTTTGATTGCTGGACTAACAGTGTCGCCTTGTCTTCGGATTCTGAATGAACATCAGGACTGCAGTCAACCGGTGAGTCTTCAATACGTTCTACAAGTGTCCATGAGCAACTTAAACACATATTGAAGAGGGTTTTGTCCAAACTTCACAAATTCACTCTGTGTCTGTTTTTTCCAGGGTCTTGCCCATTGCAAAATCCGTGAGTATTTTAATTGTTATGTAATAAGAATAGAGTTTAAACATTTACTGTAGCCTATAGTTAAACCAACAGAATGGAAATATTTTGTGCAAGTATAAGCACTTTTGGATATGACCGTTTTTTGAATTGTTCTTAGTAAGGTGGAAAATTGATGCATTAATGTGTTTCCAATCATGTTGGAGCTGGTGAGGGTGGGACTTACAGTACTTTAATGAATGCATACTGCTCGGTACAGTTGAACACATTTCAACCCACATTTCAACTTTCTATCAATCAGAATTTGCAAAGTAGTTAGTAACTATCACATCTGATTTTGCAGTGGAGCAAAGTAGAGTAGGAGTGAAATGACATGTAAATAAGTAGAATTCATTGGAAACATTCCAGTAAATAACAAGTTTCACAAATTTTTACCTTTGTGTTGTGATTAAGAAAATGTAATGCATATTTGTGTGAAAGTCTTCCACCACAGCATATCAGTTAGTGAAATGTTGATAATATGATAATATTGAAACTATTTCCTAAATGCTAGATAACTGTTCAGATGAACACAAGGACGTAGATCTTGCTCCCACAGGCCCAGACTGGGGTCCTGAGCATGTGGGAGTCGGGACTGACAAACATGGGACCATCCCCATTATGAATGTGATATGGAAATTAAAGTCAGATGGTAAGCAATGTTAAACTCTGCAGTTTTGTGTAAAAGTACTATACTCTACAATATTCTCTTCTATTCACAGCTGGTGTGTTCAAACTTCATGGGTCAAAGATAAATATTCGGGATGAAAAAAGTAATCAAAGTGTGTGTGTGGAGTTTTCTTTTATCATCACACAACCGCTGAATCAAAACTATACGAGGGTAAGAAACATATACGTTTAACTTCTGCTGTAGCAGTGCCAACCAGTATACACATATACACACAGATTATATTATTCATTTATGATTCTCATTTCTCTGTCAGTGGACATTTTCCTTGGACGGAATTGTGGTCGAGCCTGAACTTACATACGCAGTGTCAGTTATTAATTTACCAGAACCTGTGAGAAGAGACTACAGAATCAGTAAGAAAATTATTATCCCAGGTGAGTTTTCTTCATGTCTCAGTCATCAAAGGTATTTTGATTTTCTATTAAAAAAAACACAGATTTGCTGTCATGTAAGACAAAGCAGCAGATTGTCCCATTTGAGAAGCTGGAACATGATGTAAATCATATTGTCACAGTTATAAAAAAAATCAACTGGCATCTATTGACAACTGCAGCTCTCATTTCTAGTTTCACTGTTAACTATTTAAAGCAACAGAACACTTTATACTTACTCTGTGTTATAATTGTATCAGAAATGAAAAAATTATGTTCTCATAATTGACACTTTTGATGTTATTTCTAAAGTTCACTGATTTATTTGCTATTTTTCTTAAAGCGGTACAAGAGGAACTTAAAAAACGTTCTAATTAGCTTCTTATCTATCGTCAGGATGTGGTGACAGCAGAATCCAAATGGCTCAAATGTGCATTGAAAATGGTAAATTTCACTTTTTTTACACTTCTCAAGTTTAAAATGCAAAACCCCAAGAAATCCATTGTACTTTTTGCATATTTTGTTTCAGGTAGTCTATGGAGGCCTAACATCACCCAAGCAACTTCTTTAGATAAGAAAAATAAAAAGTCGATTGTTGTTGTGGGTTTTGAGGCAGCAGAGTATTCAGAGAGATACCAAGTCTCCATCCAGAGCCAGATTTTCCATTACTCACACAATGTCTCAAAGGTAAGTAATAAAACTGAATATGTCTCCTATTTCACCAGTGATGACCAGAATAACTGTGTGAGACCTGGTGTTTACGACCATTAAGTGATTTATTGCTGGTTAAGCTGCAGGACATCCTGTAGAGTAACTAAACCAGAATACATTTTCTTTTTCCATTAAACAAACAGGAAAACAGAACATCACTGAACGTGACATTTGAATTTCCTTTGTGGCAGCACCCAAACTGTGATCAGATGTTGTTATCGGTGAGTTCAGTTTTTATTTAATCTCCCACCCACACTAGTTAACAATGCAATCTTTTAGAGCTATTGCATCAACTTTTTACTGACTTTACTCTGTTGTTTCATAGATTCAACCCTTTTTTATCCGATGCAAAAATGACTGTCAACGCCACACCAAAATCTTCAGTAACTGTGATTGTAAGTAACATTTTTGACACATTCTCATTGACCTGATGTTACTGAGCATGAATCAGTGACTCCAAACCTTTTTTGCTCGTGACCCATTGATATGAATGTTCACTTGTTGCAGCATTTCTGAACTTATTTGAATATTTATTTTAAGCCCAAATATATCTCAATAAAAAGCAAAGATTTGACAAAATACCCAAAACAGATGCAAATTTATGTATCAAAACATTTTTTTTAAATGACCCATCAATCATCTTACCAACCCCTGAGTTTTAATACCAGTGCAGGAGTGCCCAACCTCAGATTGGGAATCACTGATTTCATTATGTTTTAATTAACTTTTTGTATTTACACAGAGGTGTTTCGCTAATCTCTATCTGTATGTTTGTTTTTTGTTCAGATTATTCACCACGGACTGTCATAATAAAGATGGTGGTGGGCCTGTTTGTCATTATGCTTTTTCTTTTTTACTTCCTGTGGAGAGCATATCATAGAGGTTTGTCCTCTTATAAATGAATAGTATTGAAAATAAAACTCAACTTGAATTAAGTTAAATTAATCAATCAATGAATTGAAACTTGATTAACTGCATCCTTCTCCCAGATTCTGCGAACACATCCTCATCTGTTGCCAAACACCAACCGGAGAGTTTTCAAATGCAAAAGAGAAGACGAGTCCTGGTCCTTTACTCCCTCGACCACCCCTTGTACAAAAACATTGTTCTCAAGCTGTGTGGCTTCCTTTCAACTAAATGTGGCACAGAAGTGGTGCTGGATCTGCTGGACTCTGCCAGACTGGGAACACTGGGAAGGATTCAGTGGTTGGACTGGCACAGAGAGCAAATAGAAACCTCGTCAGATAAGATACTACTCCTGTGCTCACCAGGGGTACAAGCCAAATGGAGAGCCATGTGTGGAGACAAACAGCTTATTCTGAGGGAGGACGTTTACTCACCTGTAGGCGACATGCTCACTCCAGCCCTCTGCCTCCTGGTCCCACATTTCATCCGATCTGCATCCTTTGAAAAATACATGGTGGCTTATTTTGATGACGTTTGTTCAGAGGAGGACGTTCCTTCACCTTTCAACATCACAGTGAGGTACAAGCTGATGAAACAGTTTGAGGAGCTGTTTTTCCGGATCCTGGACACAGAGAAGCATGAACCAGGCAGAGTGAACCACATCGAAGGGCTTTCAGAGGACGTGTACCATCAGTGCCCCTCGGGCAGAGCCCTGCTGGATGCCATAGAGGTTTTCCATGCATATCAGCTGGAGCATCCACACTGGTTTGAAGAAGAATTACTGGAGAGCTCAGAGTTACAGACTGGTGAGACCTAACTGACCTGAGAAACTGATTCCGCAGCTGTTAATGTGCTCCTCAGCTGAATTCAGATCTTACTGTTGAGGCAACGCAGCCAGATTGACTGCAGAGGGTTGCACTTCACTTCTTTAGTTTGGGCTAAACTAGGGCTCAATAGTCCATTCAAATTCAGTCAAGCTGCATTAAATTGCACACACTTGTAGAAAAGGTCCCCTAAATTTGCATGATTTTTTTCATCTAAATGTATTATTGTGGGAAATCAGTGGAAAAATTCCTGGATCCATACCAAAATAAAATCAGTTCCTTACTAAGCCCTTCCGCATCATTACATTAAGTTTCATGGTGATCTGTCGAGTCGTTTTTGTGTAATATTTCTGTGATTAGCTGCTATATTTCGAATCGAGGCAGAAAACGAGACTGGAACATATAACATTTCTTTGCAGACTTTATAAAGAGTATCTATGTGCATTTTTCACACACAAACATGCTTTGTTTGTCATATACATGTTTGCCCGTGTATATTTGCTTGTGTCACTGTTCACCAGGAGACAATTCCAGACTATAGTTTAGAGCACAGAATGGCTGCTTGTGGGCTGTGTAAACAGTGTTCAGGTCAAAGTTCAACCCTCCAGCAAAGTTAACAGTATTTAGGTTGCATCGGAGAAGGTAAGCACTAAATCTCATGGTGGAGACTTTTAACAATGAACTGATTGAATGCAATGTGTTATTGACCTTTTTAATATCTGTGAGCAAGGATGTTTTGTTTTGTTTTGAAGTAGTCAACATTTCCACCACAGGGAAATGTTCTCCATCATAGCACAGAACCAATCAGTTAATGTTGATGACTTCTTCCCAGCACATGGATGTTCAGATGATCTAAATGTAATTTGGGTTTGTGTCTATCAATGTCTCTGATCTTCACTGTGTCATTAAAGAGATATTGATTAAAGTTTAAAGCTGTTAAATTAACAGTGTTGGTACAAATTAGATCGGTACGCTGTGAACTTCTTTTGCTATATGCATCAAACACAATATTGATGGTGTAATACTTTACATCGAACAATCTTTAGTGCATAGATGCAGTGAAATAGGAGAAAAAGGTGATGATGTCACAGATGCTGGCTCTGGACTTTGGGTGTAGGTTTTTGAGAGTGGCCCCAAGAGGGGGGATGGTGGTGGGAATTTGTCCCGACTAACTGGAGCAAAGAAAATCCTCACAAAAGCTGGTTTGGACTTGTGCCTTCCAGCGCCAGAAAACAAACACACACACACACACAAACACATACACACACACTGCGGGTGTAATACAGCTTGCGGGAGCCTATTTGATATTTCCTCCAAGAAATTGAGGTAATATTGTTTATTGTTCTGATTTCGACATACACATGACTTAAAGTTTTTATGTGTGTACACAGAATGGACACATTTGTTTCACTAAATTAAAAAAAATGCAAGAAATTTACTGAAACAACCTTATTGTCTCTTTAGAGTATTTGTGTTTTTTCAGGATTTGTCTTTTAGTTCTAATCAAAGAATTAGACAGTGAATGTTGTCTTCTTTGTCTTGACACTCTCGTTAAATCATGTTTGTTTAGTCACAATCACCTATTTACTATAAATGTCATCAGAAGATCTTAAACATAGAAATTTGCCTCTCATGTTTTGGTTTTTAAATGCAATTAGGAGTGATACTAGAGGGGAGTCACTAAATGATTCACATTATCAGGCTGCAACAGTGAAGATAGTTGATCAACTCAACTTGATTGATCAGTGAGAATCAGCTGACTCTGCTTTCTTTCACACTGAAATGTTTTCAGGGTTTGCCTCAAAATCTGAGCAGAATGAGGAGAATACTGAGGAGCGTCCCTGCACTCGTCCTGAGAAGAGGAATCTCAACGTATCAGAGCACATGGTGCAAAAATGGTAAATGTATCCTTAAAATATACTGCACACACAGCTCGATGTGTAACAATGATGAGGAGGAGGATGATTTGTGAATCTCTCCCCTCAGACTGCCTCTTCAGAGTTCATCCATCTGTATCCCAGGCGTTGGCAGAAAACAAACCAGTGGTTGCCCTTGAGAGTACGATTATCACACACGGCATGCCCTATCCACACAACCTGAGGTACACCTGCATGACCTTCAAGCGTCAACACATTCTGATAACAGCAGCTACTATTGAGTCGTTTTATTCACTGGCAATGATCCTTCTTCGTATAATCATACACAGCACAGCAAAGGGGGTGGAGGCCATAGTACGAGCGGGAGGTGCCACTCCAGCCACGGTTGGAGTGATCGAGGGCAAAGTGCACGTCGGTCTGTCACCAGAGGAGCTGGAGCACCTCGCGAACTGCAGGAGCTCACTGAAGGTGTCCCGTCGTGATCTGCCATACGTCAGCAGCAAAGTGAGACTGCAGCTTATTCAGCTCAGATATGAACAGTGCTGGAAGAAGCATTCTGATTGTTTGAATTACAGTAGAAACACTAAAATATCTCCCTTTCATGTAAATGTCCTCAATTCAAAATCCCAATTCAGTACGGATCAAATGTCTTTATTAAGAGTAGCTCTTTTCAGATTTCTATTTTTTTATTTTTTGTATCACTAACAAATACAGGCAACATAATCTTTATGGAGCCAGTTTTAGATACTGTATTTACTACTAAGTGAGATTCTTTAGCACTTTTTTATATCTGTACCATATACCAGAAATAGAACAAATGCAAAAGTTAATTAAGTAAGGTACAAGTATATAAAAGCTGAATATAGTAGTTTATAACAGTGGTTCCCAAACAGGGGTTGTGACCCACTGGGGGGTCATGAGACACCAGTGGAGGATTTCTTCGAATCGAACACAATTTGAAAAGAAATAACAAATAGCATATCTCAGTCAAAATATTTTAAAATAGTCATCTGCCCACTGATTTTCTTTGTCCTTGCATGACCCCTAAGATGATTATGACAGATTAGCAACAGCATCACTGAAAGGTTTGGGAACCCCTGGTTTAGTAATAATGCTGCCACTGGGAATTCATACCAGACTGTGTCTGATAAGCACGATGGCTGACCTACAGGGTTTCATCCACTTGAAATAAGTGAGTTTATAATTCATTGTGGTGTGGTGCAGTCAGTGTGTATTTGTGGTTTTTTTTCTCAGGGGCTCACTGGGGGAACGACAGTGTCAGCCACGATGATAGCTGCCCATCATGCTGGCATCCCTGTGTTTGTCACGGGTGGTATCGGAGGAGTTCACAGAGATGGAGAGAACAGTAAGATGACACACACCATGCTGGAAAACAGCCACGTGGACTCAATGATACAGTACCTATGTAACTCTGAAGAAGTTCATTCTCTCAACAAATCAGGATGATAGACAGACTATATGGTTTTGGCTTCCTTTCACACAGAAGTCTTTCTCAGAGTAAACAATGACATCATCAGGTATACCACCTGAATTCGGTGGCCTGCTGAGGGCCGAGATAGTTCACTCTGAGGAAGACCTTCATGCGTATTAACACCAATACTCAGGATTGTGACTTTGATTTAAAACAAATTTGGGCATGTGAATAACAAAATGTTTATTTAAGGTGCCATAACAGTTACAGAAAGTTTCATCATTAGTCCCCACTGACTATTGTTCCTTCAGGTCTGGACATCAGTGCAGATCTGACAGAGCTGGGCAGAACTCCCATCGCTGTGATCTCTGCTGGGGTCAAGTCTATTCTGGACATCGGTCGCACCCTGGAATTCCTTGTAAGAATATGGAGATACTATTTGAGTGTACACTTTTTATACAGAAAAATATGTATCAGCAATACTTTGTGTTATATTAATTGAGATGAGTGAATTCAACTAAAATACGATATTTCTTCCGCTGTGTATCTTTAATCAGGAAACACATGGCGTCTGTGTAGCCACTTATGGCAAGTCAAAGAATTTCCCAGCATTCTTCTCTCCTCAAAGTGGATTCACTTCCTCGTGCCAGGCTGACAACCCTACTGAGGCAGCAAAACTCATAGGTATATCAACATTTCATTTCCTGAAGATTGTCCGTTTCCTTCAGTTTTAACAGATTCTGTCTCCAGGCATATTAGACACAGAATATGTTGAAGTTGGTATACCCATCATACAAATGGTTTGTCATGTTTTTTGTTCTTTTTTGTTTGGATGTCTTTCAGCGAGCACTTTGTCCCTGGGTCTTCAAAGTGGTGTCCTGTTAGCGGTGCCTATCCCAGAGGAGCATGCAGCTGCTGGGCAGCAGATAGAGGAGGCCGTACAGGCTGCAGTTACAGAGGCCAGGTACAGAGTCTCTGTTGTAATATTTGTTTTTATGATCTGGATTTGGTAAAGGGAACTAAATGATTTATGCATCAAATCATCACTTTTTTGTCTTTTTGATTCCCTCAGTGCTAAAGGTATCACTGGAAGAGATGTTACCCCATTTATTCTCCAGAAGGTCAATGAGCTGACTCAAGGAAAGTCCCTGCAGGCCAGTATCCTTCAGAAAATCTGAAAACATCATGCAAAGAACACAGGAAACATGATCATATCAAATTCTGAGAAAAAAAAGGTTGAATGCCTGAAAGGCTGACAGAGGTAAACTACAATAACCTTTCATGTCTACTGCTGATTACCTTTGTGCTGTAATACACCTTCCTTAACTTGGGATGTTTCAAGACATCGCTCTCATTCATAACAATGCTCGAGTTGGAAGTCAGATCGCCTGCGCACTGTCAGAACTAATGAATGAGAGAAAGTTAAGAAATGAAACTCATCATTCGGGAAAACACACATCAGAATCAGAATCAAATATTGTGAGTACAAACACACATGTAGGACTTATTTCCACAGAAGTAATATATTGGCACAATACAGAACCTGCAGTGCTTTTATTTTACAGGTTGTGATCGGAGGAATAAATATAGATTTCATTGCCAAAGGAAAAGCAATTCAAGTAAGTTTAATTCACGACACATTTGTCCACAGGTCTTATAAGAACATACAATGTAGTCTGAAACGTCTGAGAGCACTTGTTACCTCTTTCAGTTTGGAAAGACCAACCCAGGAAGTGTGTGTCAGTCATTTGGTGGTGTAGGACATAACATCGCTAGTGAGTTCTTTATCCTATTATGTTCATTTTCGTTTTCATAAACACTTTCAAACCTGATCTGAGTCTGTGGTGTTTGTCTTCCAGACTCTCTGAGTCGATTAGGGCACAGGCCTCTGTTCATCTCAGCTGTTGGAGCTGATTCAAACGGTGATGCAGTGTTCAACCACTGTAAACATATGGTATGTACACATCAACAGG